AGATGGATGAAACTGGAGCCCATTATACAGAGCGAAGTAAGCCAGAAAGATAAAGACCATTACAGTATACTAACACATATATATGGAATTTAGAAAGATGGTAACGATAACCCTATATGCAAAACAGAAAAAAGAGACTCCGATGTATAGAACAGACTTGTGGACTCTGGGAGAAGGCGAGGGTGGGATGTTTCAAGAGAACAGCATTGAAACACGTATATTATCTAGGGTGAAACAGATCAGCAGCCCAGGTTGGGTGCATGAGACAAGTGCTCGGGCCTGGTGCACTGGGAAGACCCAGAGGGATCGGGTGGAGAGGGAGGTGGGAGGGGGGACCGGGATGGGGAATACATGTAAATCCATGGCTAATTCATTTCAATGTATGACAAAAACCACTGCAATGATGTGAAGTAATTAGCCTCCAACTAATAAAAATAAATGAAAAAAAAAAAAAAAGAGAGGGTCTCTGTGGAAATGAGTCTGCTCATTCTGAGAAAACAGTAAAGACAACAAACCTTTATATCATTTATTTATAAGCCCTTGAGATTTTTTTTGTAATCCCTGAGTTACCCTGCTTCGTGTTTCCTCATAAAAGATGGTAGGAAAACTCTACAATGACTAAAAATCGACTTAATTATCAGCACTTTTGCCTTTTTCCTCCCATCCCTGAATTCCTCACCTCTGTTTAACCCTCCTTGGTATTTAAATAGTTAATCTGGTGCTGGCCCGGGAGTCAACACTGCGCAAATCTCTCAGTGACTTCACAGTGACCTTCACAACTTGATTTATTTGGCATTTCCTTTGTGTTCTTTTATACCAACTGATCGACCTTTGCTATTAATTAACAGTATTTACTGAAGCACTCACCAAAGTTAGTAGATAAGATTTTCTGTGTATAGCCTGTCTCGTGACATTAGTTTATCCCCCAAAGTATAAAACCAACTGAGAAAAGTGTGTTTGAAAACTGGCTCAGGTTGGGGACTTCTTTGGTGCTCCAGGGGTTAAGACTCTGCGCTTCAAATGCAAGGGGCATAGGAGTCTCTTTTTCTGTTTTGCACATAGGGTTATCGTTACCATCTTTCTAAATTCCATATATATGTGTTAGTATACTGTAATGGTCTTTATCTTTCTGGCTTACTTCACTCTGTATAATGGGCTCCAGTTTCATCCATCTCATTAGAACTGATTCAAATGAATTCTTTTTAATGGCTGAGTAATATTCCATGGTGTATATGTCCCACAGCTTCCTCATCCATTCGTCTGCTGATGGGCATCTAGGTTGCTTCCATGTCCTGGCTATTATAAACAGTGCTGCGATGAACATTGGGGTGAACGTATAGAACAGACTTGTGGACTCTGGGAGAAGGCGAGGGTGGGATGTTTCAAGAGAACAGCATTGAAACACGTATATTATCTAGGGTGAAACAGTTCACCAGCCCAGGTTGGGTGCATGAGACAAGTGCTCGGGCCTGGTGCACTGGGAAGACCCAGAGGGATTGGGTGGAGAGGGAGGTGGGAGGGGGGACCGGGATGGGGAATACATGTAAAAAAAAAAAAGATACACTATGGTTGTGATAAAAAAAAAAAAAAAAACAAATGCAAGGGGCAGAGGTTTCATCCCTGGTCAGGGAACTAAGATCCCAAATGCCATGTGGCATGATCAAAAAAACATGTGTGTGTGTGTGTGTGTGTGCATACAGGTTGATATATATGAAAGCATGCATGCATTCACTAATTCAGTATTTATTTAGTGAGAGCCTATTATGTGCCCAGCTTCACAGAACCACCATCCCCGTGGGGTGGGATGAAGGAGACAGATAATGAGTAAGTAGAATAGCTTATGTCACAAGGAGATAACTGCTATGGAGAAAAACAAGGCAGAAAAGGGTGACTGAGAGTAGAGGCTGTGTTTGAAAATAGACTGCTTATCCTTGTTCATTGGAGCTTTACTTACAATGGTCAAGATATGGAAACAACCTGAATGTTCTTCCGTGGGTGAGTGGAAAAAGCAAATATGGTAGATACAGACAATGGAATGTTATTCAGTCTTCTTAAAAAAAAAAATGAGGAAAATCCTTCCATTTGTAACAATTTGGATGAACCTGGAGGGCATTATGCTAAGTAAGATAAGTCGGAAAAACAAAAACAAATATTGCATAAGCTCACCGATAGGTAGAATCTAAAATAGTCATAGAAAGAGAATAGAATGGTGGTTATCAGGGACTGGGGGAAAAGGGAATTGGAAAGGTGTTGGTCATGGGTACCACGTTTCAGTTATGCAAAAGATGAGTAAGTTCTGAAGAGCTAAAATACAATAATGTGACAATGGTGAACAATATTGTATATTGCTAAGAAGGTAGGTCTTAAGGATTATTCCCGTGAAAATAAAATTAAAACATAAAGTAAAATAAGTGCTTTGAGAAAAGAGCTTATGAAAGGTCTCAAAAGGTAAAGAGTGATCACTGAGGATACAGGGAGCATCCCTGACAGAGGGTTGCCCAGCGAGTTCCAGGAAATAGCAGAGAAGTTGGTGTCTTAGAAGCCGGTGAGGCCAGAAGAGATTCAGGTGCCTGGTTTTATGGAATCTCATACTTGATGTGTCAGGACTTGGCTTTTTCTTGGCATGAGACAAGTCTTTGAAGGGTTTCAAGCCTAAAAGTGGCGTGGTGGACTGGTGATTTCAAACGAAGATCAACTGACTGTGGAGTGGAGAACAGACTATAGGAGGGTGAGGGAAAAGCAGGAGAACCAGTTAGGAGGTGATGGCTGCTTGGACCAGTCTGGTAGCAATGAGGGTAGAGAGAAGAGGTTGCATTCTGGATATACTTTTTAAAAAAGTAGAGATAATAGGATTTCCTGGCAGGATGGATATGGGGGTGTGAGATACAGGAGCTAAGGTTTTCAATATGTTCATGTGTTTGTGTGTGCTTAGTCGCTCAGTTGTGTCCAACTCTGTGTGACCCTATGGACTGTGGCCCACCAGGTTCCTCTATGAGATTCTCCAGGCAAGAACACTGGAGTAGGTTGCCATTCCCTTCTTCAGGGGATTTTTCCAAACCCAGGGACTGAACCCAAGTCTCCAGCACTGCAGACGGATTCTTGACCATCTGAGCCACCAGGAATGCCCTGTTCAAGTGTATATGTCTATATAAAACTCCAAAGGTATCTGGTTTGATTATTGTTTGTTGCTGTTGTTCCACCCCAAAACTCTGATACGGGAGGAAACTTCTCAAGTCTTGTTCACAACTGTATACTCAAAGTCTTGCTCTGACTCCCTAGCACCCAGCCCCCAGGCCACCCCACCTCCTTCTTTCTCTCTCTAAAATAAAGTGTTTATTGTGGGTGTCGACTAAAAAATATGCATAACTTGAGACTTGTGAGTTCAGTTTTATCTGGGGCAAAGGGAAGACTGCAGCCCTGGAGACAGCATCTTAGATTTGAGAGACTGCTCCAAGGAGGCAGGAGGGGAAGTTAGGCTTTGAACAAGTTTCTAACACAGGGACTTGGCAGTCTGAGCATCAAAGATTAGGTATCAAGTTCAGGAATTTAGCATTCTAAATCTGGGAAGATGCAAGCCTCTGGGCCTACAGAATTCATTCTTTTCATATGCACCTCAACTATCTGGGGCCAAATCCAGTTTCTTTCTTCTCCTTAAGCAGTGGTAGATGGCTGCTTTTTGTATTCCCCTAGCTTCTCAGCAATCACCACGGAGGGTGGCGGCATCTGCTGGATTGCAGTTTTGGGAGCCCTCAATCACATTTGGAGGCCAGAAGTCACTGGTGGCTGTGACATTTCTTGTTTATTGACATGGCAGGAGATATCTTCATTTAACATGGGTAATGGGATTACAGAAAAATTTTCAAGAGCTCTGTTATTTTCTAGCTACCCTATTTTCAGCATTGAGCCTGTATTCATTTTAAAATGTGTTTTAGTCGTGCTCAGACTCTTTGCAACCTCATGGTCTGTAGCCTGCCAGGCTCTTGGTCCATGGTATTCTCTAGGCAAGAATACTAGAGTGGGTTGCCATTTCCCTCTCCAGGGCAATCTTCCCAACCCAGGGATCAAACCCTCATCTCTCACATTCCACACAGATTCTTTACCATCTGAACCACCAGAGCTAGAAACAATGCATTTTAAATTACAGAAAATCAAAGAAAGATGCAGAATTAGACGACTGATTGCGTGATACATCTCCTCTTCCTTCTACACCGGGGTCTTTGGAACTTCTCAGTAGGACCCTGCAGAAACTGGAAGGGGTGCCGCCTTGCCTTCCTTTTTCCAGGATGCATCCACCTTGCTCGTGGGCACTGAGGCATTACTGGGGCACCTGCAGTTGCACAGCTGCTGAGGTTCAACACTTGACTCCTGGGAAAGAGGGGATGTTTGGGCGTCTGGGGGTGACTTTCATGGCTCTGGAACTTGAAGCTGTTCCAGAAAGCTCTCAAGCTGCCGGCAAGATCAGGATCTTTTCACTGAAATCCACAAGGGCCGCAGGAAAGGCTGTCATTGGCCAGGCTCTCAGGCCACCCACGTAGGGGGAACGGTGGGGGATGCAAACCCCGCCCAAGCCCCGGGGGGGATGGAGGTGGCACCTGGCACTCCCGGTCAACCTCTGAACGCCTAGCCAGGCACCTCCACGGGTGCAGGCGCTAAGCGGCCCTCCCCAGCCGCGCACTGCAGCCCCGCGGGCGCCTTTCCTGGGAACCAAGGTCGTAATTAGTGGTCCAGGTGGGAAGCAGACGCGGAACCAGGGAGAAACAGGAGCGGTGAAAGAACCCAGAGAGCTTAAGCCCGGGAGAAGGGGCGCGGCGTCTTGTGGCGAGAGGATTTCGCCCCGCGCGCCCAGCGAACCTTCGCTCAGGCGCCGCCAGAGCCCGGAGCAGGGGGGTCCTCTCCGAGGGGGCGCAGCGGTCCCCCGCGCTGTGCCCTTCGCCCAGCGCCAACCGGCTCCTCAGCAGAGTCCAGGAAGGGTCTCCGGTCCAAGACAGGGATCTGCGGCCATGACTGAGGTCGTGGAGCTGGAGAGGGGCGCCCCGCGTCCTCGGAGCCCGTCCGGGGGCCCAGCGCTTCAGGCGGATAGGCAGGGCGAGACGGAGACCGCCGGCCCTAAGGCTCAGCGAGAGGAGGCGAGAGAGGGCCCAGCGGAGGCGCCGCGGGGCGACGGGGCGGGCGCAGCCGCGACGGCCGCGGGGCCCGAAGGAGAAGGCTCGGGGCCGGCCGGAGGGCGAGCGGGCGGGCTGGAGCCGGGCGCCGGCGGAGGCCCAGGAGCCGACACCCGGGGCGCGAGCGGGGCGCAGGGCCAGGACGAGGCAGGGGACGACGCTCGCAAGGTAGAGGGGCCGACGAGCGGCGCGGGGCCGGAGGAGGAGGCTAGCCCCGGGCCCGGCGCGCAGGGCGAGGAGCCGGGGGAGGCTCAAGCGGGGAGCGGGCACCCCGCGGCCCTGAACGCGGCGGAAGAGGCGGGGAGCGGGCCGGGGGAGCCGGCTGGCAGCGCTCCTGGGGCGTCCAGGGCGCGCGTGGACGCCCCCGAGTCGGTGGGGAACAGCGTGGTAGCCGAGGAGTCGGTGGGGTCCCGCGTGGGCGCCCCGGAGTCGGTGGGGAACAGCGTGGTAGCCGAGGAGTCGGTGGGGGCCCGCGTGGGCGCCCCGGAGTCGGTGGGGGAAAGCGTGGTAGCCGAGGGGTCGGTGGGGGCCCGCGTGGACGCCGAGGGGCCGGGGGGGGAGAGCCTGGGAGCCGAGGAATCGGTGGCAGATAATACAGATGTCGCGGTGCCGACGGCAGGAGCGCAGGGCGCCGAGGGTGAGCCCCGCGACGGAGGGGACCGCAGCCCCCAGTCCCAGGCGGAGGCGATTGAGGCCCCAGCGGCGGAGAGCGCGGGGTGCACCCCCGGGGAGCTTGCGGGGGAGCCTCGGGGCGCAGCGGAGGAGACGGGCGACCCCGAGGGAGGTCAGTCGGGGGAAGCGGCCCCTGGGGACTCTTGGGCAGAGGCCGGCGAGGACGTGGACCAGAGTGGGCCCCCGGGGCAGGCAGAGGAGGCCGAAGAGGAGAGGCCGGAGGGGGGTCCCCAGGGGCCAGGCGAGGAGGCCACGGCCGGGGGGGAGGAGGAGCCCCGCGAAGGCACCGCTGATGACGAGGCGACCCGGCCGTTGGAGGTCGGGGAGCCCCAGGCCGAGCTGAGCAGCTACGTGGCGGACGCGCGCAGCGCTGAACGCGGCGGCGGGACAGTGCCCGAGAACGGCGGCCAGGAGGACGGCGAGGCGTCCGAGGAGGGGGCCCCGGGGCAGGACCACGACATCACGCTCTTCGTGAAGGTAAACCTGGCTTCCCGCCGCTCCCGTGACGCCCCCTCCTCAGTCGTGTCTTTTCAGATCTGATCCTAGAGGGACGCGCAGGGGTCATGCTCTCGGCGCCCGATGGGCACCGAGCCCTCTGTCCGCGGGAGTCGGGCAGGACAGCCTGCGCTTCAGCGAGAAAGAGTTAAGTCGCTCAGTCGTGTCCGACTCTTTGCGACCCCATGGACTCTAGCCCTCCAGGCTCCTCTGTCCATGGGATATCCCAGGCAAAGCTCCTGGAGTGGGTTACTAGTTCCTTCTCCAGGGGCTCTTCCCCACCCAGGGATCGAACCCACGCCTCCTGCTTTGGCAGGCGGAATTTTTTTCCCACTGAGCCAGGAAAATCCAAAGGAATACGATGGGGAAGAATTGAGGAAACAAAGAGGTTGGGATGGGGGTGGTGGGTGAGTCCAGCGTCCCACTGGCCTTTGTCCTGAAAATCCTAACTGGCTCTTCTAGTCTGGAGGTTCTCAAAGAACCTACAGAACAAAAGCAAAGCCCGGACAAGCCCTTTTGATGTTCAGAACAATTTCTGCCAAAGGAAACGCTAATACTTAAAGTGAAAAAATGATAACAGGTTGTAATGTGAAACTGTATACTAGGACTCAAATCTCAGAGGCCCAGAGCTGGCCCAAATTTTCAACTACCAAAACCTCTTATATTTTGGGAGAATCAATAACGTGTGTTTGGGAGGAAAATGGAAGTTTATTTAAATATGGTAATATTTATGGAACATTTTAGCATTTTTTTTAAGAAGCATGCCATATGCTGATAACCATTGTCTGCTTCTTTGTCTTATTTTCAGCCTTACTTGAAAGAGTCAAAGAGGACAAAGATTCTGTAGAAATACAAGTGAGATAGTTTTGAGTTTAAATGGGGTTTCCTATAAGGCATCACAGATAAGGACCGAGGTCGAGGAGCAGCTTTTTTGTTGAAAAAGCTCTTCCCAAAGACCTTTGGCCAGACTGGGAAAGCAGCAGATAATAAGGTCAAGAATGTGCATTGTATGTTAAATCATAATCCTTGCAAAATATTTCCAGGCTTATAGAGGCCAGTCATGACCCAACCTCCTTGAGAGAAATGTAAGCAAATTTTAATAACTGGGAAAAAAAATAAGGGAAAAAAAATTTCCCAGCATGATTAAGATCAGAATTTCAAGAATTCTTTGAGTGGCAAGAGAATTTGGGAAGAACAGGCTTGCGTTTCTTCACTATGTTGTTCGGAGCAATTTTTAAGATGCTGAGACATTTTCAGATCATGTATTGGGACATAATCTGAGGGTGCAAACCCCTAGGAGGGTCCCTGGAGCAGGAAGACTTCAGGGGAGTTAGGGGAGGGGGAATTTGAAAATAGTGCTGCTGTGCATGTCCCCGCTCCACTCCTTGGTTTAAGAAATTTCCCCCTGGTTCTGGCCGCTGGGCTATAGGATACCAGTCTCTTGTTACAGCTTTTAAACACAGTTTCCTAACTGGACTCTGCTTCCATCTTTGGTGTTTTCCAATCTAGTCCTTCGTCATAGCCAGTGAGCTAAAGAAAAGATCTGATCATTTTGTTTCCTAGTATAAAATTCCTCAGTTGTTTATGGCAGATAAATCCCCACTTCTTAGCCAAATCATGAGGCTCTCCGGGATGTGATTGCTGTCTCCTTGGCATTGCCTGTGTGCCCCCTCTCCCCCACCTTTTGGTACCACTATGTCGCCAAATTAAACTACTTACTGGTCCTTGGGAGAACCACATTCTTTGCTGCCTTGAAATTTTCCATGTGCTCTACCTGAATCAAGTTTCTTCCCCTTCATCCCTCTCTCCCTCCCCTGCCTGGTTATCTGCTTGTGTCCAAGATTCAGCGTGGCCATCAGCTCCTCCGGGGAGACTTTCCCAACCCCGATTTGGTTTGGGTACCCCTCTGTCAAAGCTCCACTCACACTACCCTCTGTATGCTGTCTCCAGTGTGGAGCACAGGTCTGGAAATGGAAGGTGTGTGTGAACCAGTGGCTGCCTGTAGGAGTTGGTATATTGTAATGATCAATAGTACAGACTTTAGAGCCAGTGAGCTGGGGCCAAATCCTGGCTTTGCTTCTTTCTTGCTGTGTGACCTTGGACAAGTTTCTTAGCCTTTCTGTGCCTTCATTACTTATGGATAAAACAGGGGCAACAATAGTACTTACTCTATGAGGTTGTTGGGGTTCAAGATAAGATTCTACTTAGAAAAGTATCTGACTTGAAATAAGCCTGGTATAAGTGTGAATTCTTGTTACATCTGCTAGTTCTGATCAACTTTCATTGATTTTTGCTTGGGGATAGTCCCTTTTCCATTCCATCACTGCCATTTTATTTTAGGGAAAATACCTCTAGATACCCAATTATTTCCATTCTCTGGGGGAGAAGAATATTATGAAAAGTAAAAACAAGTTGTTTTCTCAGATTCTGCTTAGAGTAGTTTGTGTAGGCAGAGGCAAGGAGACATGTCATGAAAGGCTTACCCAGAATGTTTGACTCTGATGATTGGCAGGCTGCTCAGTTCTTTTCCTTTTGTTAAAGTAACAAATGGACCTCCAAACAGTGAAACTGGTTTTGAAGCAACTACTGCCTGGTGCAACTTCTGAGGGTCACTTAGGATGTGTCCCATAGGATTGTTAAGGCATCTCACTTCTCATGCTTCTAGTCATTGTCTTGAAAAACAAAAGAATCCCAAAGCCAAACTCAAGCAAAAACACTTTAGCCTGTTTTATCTCTTGACTTTGTGATACTTGATTTAGAATCCTTAAGTTAGTTCAGAAGAGGATTTCTTTGCCAAATTTAACCATTCCTAAGCTCCTTCTTTGGGCTGCACTTTATCTGGATGCTGTATTCCATAGTGGACATCTGACTGTCTAGGTTTTGTAAACATGTCAGGGGCCAGTGTGTCTTGGTGGGTTTTTGATGCCATGACTGGGAGTGTAAATTTCACAGAGCTGTTCTTTAAGGATAATAGTGCAGTGTTCCTCTAACCATTCCACTAGCTTTCACGACAGCCTAGTAAACACAGTTGTTGTTTTTTTAAACAAAGTTTTAAGTCAATTAGGTCTCATTCTATTTGGGAAATTTTTTATATTTATTCTATTTTTAAAATGTATAAGTGACAAATAAATGTATTGGTTATCAGAAAGTAACGACATGACACAGTAAAATGTAATAATAAGATGTGCTTCTAAATTTAACCACCTGGTAGTTTGTATTACCTATCTTGGTGAGGATCGTCATTCTATTTTATTCTGTACGTATGCAAGAATGTATGCTTGGTTGTAAAAGAGCCACAAGTGTATAAAGCAGGCCCCTGGAAAGCCTCCTTGAATTATTGTATGGTAAATGAATTGCTGATCATCTAATGTTTAGTTTTGTTTTCTCAAAGAAGTGATAATTATTTATCAAATTATAGAGTAACCCTGCAATATCTTTAGTAACAAAAATTCTTCTCTTAGTTACTCACAAAGGGAAAGATGACAACATAACATACCAACATAGTAATAACAAATGACAAACAAGATACTAACACCATGGAGTAAAGTAGGGACTTTAGAGACAGAGGATTTGGTAGCTAAGGAAGTCTTGCTTACAGGTTTGGTTCTTCTGATACTTTGAGGCAGGGTCCAGGGGTGGGAGAGTTCTTCCCAGGTGAAGGATGATGAAGGATCTGCCTGCCAATGCAGGAGATATGGGTTCAATCCCTGGGCTGGAAAGACCCCCTGGAAAAGGAAACGGCAACCCTCTCCAGTATTCTTGCCTGGAGAATCCCATGGACAGAGGAGCCTGGCGGGCTACAGTCCATGGGGTCTCAAAGAGTCGGACATGACTGAGCACACATGCAGCAGGGGTGGGATAGTCTAAAAAATGGATTTGCTAGCAAATTTCACATGATTTAATTAAGAAAACCTTAATGTATGTGACAAGTGTCTAATCCTGGACCAGAATCTAAGAATTTCTTAAACTGTGTTTTGGACGCCATACATTTAACCACTAATACACAGCTACTGCTGAGCTCGGAAACTTGTATTTGCCATTATATTTAGATTCTCCAGGGAGGTGAAACTGAGCACAACAAAGTAGAACTCAAGTCATGGCCTTTGAATAAGCATTGTCTTCGAGAGATTCTGCCCCCCTCAAATAGATAAGTAAATTAACTGAGTCGTCCTAACATTGTCACATTGATTGGGGGTTGGAGTGGGGAAGGGGTCTGTTGGGATCAACATCTGGTGGACTCTCTGTTCATTTTTCTCCAGGAGCAAGCAGGCTGAGACCTCTCTGGGGGTTTTGTGTCTGAAGAGCTTAAAAGGGAGATGCTATTTCCATAACCAAATATGAATTTTGTGTTCAAAAAGGAAATGAGTAAAAATGCAGTTCTGTAACTTTAATTTTTCCCCCCAACTGACATTTTTTTGGTCATTTGTTTTCTGAGTGTCTATGCCACTTGCTTACACATTTTGTGGTTGTTCAGTTGCTCAGTTGTGTCCAACTCTTTGCGACCTCATGGACTGCAGCATGCCAGGCTTCCCTGTCCTTCACTATCTCCCAGAATTTGCTCAAACTCATGTCCATTGAGTCATCAATGGATACCATCAACCATCTTGTCCTCTGTCATCCCCTTACATATTATGTCTGTGAAATCATACAAGGTTAGTTGGGGTGGGAACAGAGGTGCTTTGCTAACCTCTTAGACACATGTGCACACACAGCACAGCACGCGCCCTTGAGTGGGATTCATGGGGTGTCCTCACCACCCAGCACGGCAGAGAGACTGTGGGAGGCCCTCCATCTGCTCTTCTTGGTTCAGTCAGTTCAGTCGCTCAGTCGTGTCTGACTCTTTGTGACCCCCATGGACCACAGTATACCAGGCTTCCCTGTCCATCACCCACTCCCGGAGTTTACTCAAACTCATGTCCATTGAGTTAGTGATGCCATCCAACCATCTCATCCTCTGTCATCCCCTTCTCTTCCCGCCTTCA